AAGTTCAAGCCTCATGACTGACAAAAAAAAAATCTTGAAGTGGAAGTGTGGTTCAGGTAGTAGAGTGCAATCCAGGAGTGAAAAAGTCAAGCAAGAGAGTGAGGCCCTGAGTTCAAGTCCCAGTACCGGCATACACTCATACAAAAAGAGGCAAGCGACCTTGTGGTGGTGAGAGGAGGCAGCAGGCGAGGTATGATTAAGGCTGAGGCTGTTATAGAGAGGCTGTTGGGAGTCCTGTAGAGAGGAACAGGCTGAAGTCTCTGGCATTGGGCAGAGCATGGAAACTTCTCTTTCTCCCTTTCATTTGGTGGAATCCTGAAGGCACTACCTAGTACTCCCTACAGTCTGGACTACATCAGTGTTTTCTCTTTCTTCTTAGATTGACGTTTTGTGCAGAAGACCTTGAGAACACCAGCATCTCCCCTGGCCAAGAGCTCTGGTTTCACAAGTGTCGAGATGGGTGGCGAATGAAAAATGAAACCAGGTACCCAGGCTTTCTCTGTGTCTACTTACAGCCTTTGCTGATCACCTAGCATGTGCTGGGGGTGGACTTGGGAGGTAGCAGAAACAAAACAGATAGAAGGGCCCTTCTTCATGGAGCTGACCTTCTGCTGGGAGGAGGCAGACAAATGCTTAAGTGAAAATATGGGGCCAGGCATCAGTGGCTCACACCTGTAATCCTAGCTACTCAGGAGGCTGAGATCTGAAGATCTCCAATAAACCACTCAAAAAAGCCAGATGTGGCACTGTGGCTCAAGTGGTTGAAAACTTGCCTTGAGCAAAAGAAACTTAAGAGACAGCTCCCAGGCCTAGAGTTCAAGCTCCAGAACCAGGCAAGAAAAAAAAAAAAAAAGGAAAAAAGAAAGAAAAGAAAATATGGGGTGACGGAGGGCATGAATGTCCCCTCTACTCTTTGTTGTTTGTTGTTTTGTTTTTGTTCTTTGCTTTTATGTTATCTTTGTAGTACTGGGGTTTGAACTTAGAGGCTCAAACTTGCTAGGCAGGCATTCTATCACTTAAGTCATGTCTCTAGATCTTCTTCTATTTCATTATGTTTCAGGTAGGGTCTAGTGGTTTTGCCTAGGTCTGGTCTTTGACTGTGCTCCTCTTACCTACATAACTGGAGTACTAGGCATGTACTACCATTCCTGACTTTTTTGTTGAGACGGTGATTCACTATCTTTTTCTTGGGCTGGCCTTGAGCTGCATTCCTCCTCATCTTTGCCTTCTAGTAGCTGGGATTTCAGGCATGAGGCCTACAGTACATGATAATGCTACCCCTACCACATTCTCTAGATGCTCACTGCACATAGGCTTGCAGGAATGAGATCTTTTCAGTCACTAAATCTCTTGGGTTGGCATCCATGTCCTTCATCTTAGACTGATATCCCCACTGTGGCTCCCAGGGCTTTGGGAGGGTCCAGCCTTCCTAGCTTCCTTCTGGACACCAGGTTGTACTAAGGAGTAGGGTCAAGGTCAAAGTATGAGTGGACAGATGTCAGTAGGCCTGATTCTCTCTTCTGGGAAGCAGAATGCTCATGGGTGGAGCTGGAGCTGACTGAGACTGAAGGCTTTAGTGTCTCACTACTCCATGTGGAAAGCCCATAATTTCAGAGGAGGAAGGCCCACATCACGGAGGACGGTAATGGACTCCTCCATGGGAACTTGCCATGTGCCCTCTGAGCCTAAATGTCTGCTAAGGAGGAAGGAGGCCTTCTCCCTCTGTGTCTCCCCCTAAGCCCTTGTCTTCACTGGGTACTGCAAGGTGATCCTGCACATCCATAGGTGCCCATTCTATCTCCAGTGATGATGTCATCATTTAATTTTACCACCGACCTTAGGAGATGGGCACTGTTGTCCTTAGATACAAGTAAAGAAACTGAGGCTCAGGGAGATGAAGTCACTATCCCAAGATTCCCAGATCGTGATGGCAGAGTGAGGATTTGAAGCAGATCAGTTTATTCAGAAGCCTGCTCATCTGAGCATGAAGGTTCCACTTGCTCAGATGAATGGTCTGGTTTTGGTCTCATCTTGGTCTGGGTACCAATTATCAAGCAGCTGTGCTCAGGCTTAGGGGCCCCTGTGATTAACTGTCTGACAACCCTGAGGGCTGAGCTGCACCCCCAGCTGCTCTGTCTCCTGTTTAGGAGCCTCAATAGACCTTATGCTCAGTGATCACAGGACTTACATGGTCCAAATCTTCCCATCTCATTAAGAGACTCAGTCTCATGTGAGCTCATATGAAAGTCCTCCAAATAGCCATGGAGACTGATCACACTCAGGAAGGACTGTTATTCTGTGATACAGGATACAATATTTTGTATTTATTTATTTATGCCAGTACTCGGGACTCTATCTCTGAGCTCTTCTGCTCAAGGCTAGCACTCTACCAACTTGAGCAATAGCTCTGCTTCTGGATTTTTCTGTGATTAATTGGAGATAAGAGTCTCACAGACTTCCTGCCCTGGCTGTCTTCAAACTACAATCCTCAGATCTGTCTCCTGAGTAGTTAGGATTACAGGCATGAGCCACTTGTGCTTGGCCAATATTTTAGTCTTTTCTGCTCCTGAACTTCCTAACAATGGAGAACTATATGGTTTGACTCACATTCCTTCTTTTTAAATTAAAAAAAAAAAATTGGTGCCAGTACTGAAGCTTGAACTCAAGGCCTTGTGCTCTCACTTGGCTTTTTGCTCAAGGCTGGCACTCTACCCCTTGAGTCACAACTCCACTTCTGGCTTTTTGCTGGTTAATTGGAGATAAAAGAGTCTTCCTGAGTTTTTTACCCAAGCTGCCTTTGAACCATGGCTCTTGGACCTCAACCTCCTCCCTTTTTGGACATAGCCAGTCTAAATAATAAGCCGTGGCATCCTAGACATAAGCTTGGCTGTTAGCATTTGCCCTCCTGACCTCACTGCCTGCTCACAGATGAGGAGACTGAGGTGCTGAGAGGTTCTGTGACTTCTGCCTGCAGCGGAGACTGGAATCCAGGTCTTTTGACTCTACCTCCTGCCACATGACAGTTTTGTATGTTTTTAGAATAACACAAAAAGACACTTGAATTGTCCTCCACTTGTGTGTGTGTGCTTGTGTTTCTGTGTGTCTGTGTGTGTTCTTATGTGTATATTCCACAAAACATGAATGCACATGCTGGGTTGTGCACAACTTGGAGCCTAGAGAAAGAAGGCTGTCGGTGGGCTATGTCTCAAGAGTGGACCTGTGGCTTGTTGGGCAGGGAGGAAAAAGAAGCTTCTTCAAGGGCCTTTCCATTGCTTCTGAAAAGAAAGGGAGTAAACTAGCCCCACAGGTGTGCCAGAAAGCTTGGCCTTGATACAGGGTGGCCTGTGTGCTGGTGGAAAGCTAACCAATATTCTCACGGTTCCTTGCAGTCCCACTATGATGCTAGCCTGAGGAGCCAGAAAGTCCTGCTGCACAGCGCATGCGCCAACTCTGCTGTCCAAGCACAAGGAGGAATGTTACTGCTGAGACCCACGGGGGACAGAACGCCCTCTCCTTCACCTGGAAGCCCGGGAGGCTCGTGCTTGCCAGACTCCCTTTCCTCTGTCCCCTACGATGAACATGACTGTGAATTCTCTCAGGAGGGGCCTGTCACTGCCGAAGCTCCAGTTCCCAACTCTAGATCATTCTAACTCCAAACCTCCAGAGCCGCGTTCGGATTCGTGTGTAAGCACCGAGATGCCCGGGCCCCTTCGTGCCTTTCCTAGCAGCGGACTCAGGCTGGGGAGTGGCTGCGTGTGGTGGGCTGCAAGGGCCTGGCCACTTGGAGGGAGGCCCTGCTGTAGGAGTTCGGTGGGATACGTGGATGGACACTGGCTATGTCTTAGGCATTTCCTCTGCCCCAGCTTGTTCTCTGAAGCACACAGCGCCGGCTCTTCTCTTTTCCCGTTGTTTTCCTTTGGAGTATTTAAACTAATTAGCTTATGGGAGCAGACACCTCTATCAGCCTCTGCATTTGGAACCCGATGGGGTTGAGGTTCCTAGAGTTCCATCCAGTTCAGTGATCCATGAGTACACCCGTGAGGGGAAGTCAGAAGGGCATGGGAGAGGGCCACAGGATGTAAGAATTGGTGGCCCGAGGCTTTAAGAGGTTCCAGCCTATTTCTCCATGGTTAACGGTGGTCATTTCCTCTAAGAGCAATATGCTGGCCCCAGTGGTGGCTGATTGCTAAATGTGATTGCTTTGAAGCAGTCTTTTTGTTCAGGGAGTTGGAAGATGTGTTCTCTACCCATTTCTACAGAAGTTAATGTCTGTCTGTCCACAGAGCTGACTCTGAGATCCCACAGTGTCCTTTCTTCCTGGAAATATTCTGCTTTCCTAACAGTGCCTTAACTTCTTGGAAAAACCTCCAATTCTAGATTTTTTGTTGTTGTTGGGTGGTGGAGGGAGTACTAGGACTTGAACTCTATGTGCTGTCCCTGAGATTTTTTTCTTTTTTCTTTTTGCTCAAGGCTGGCTCACTTGAGCCACTTCTAACTTTTTTGGTGACTGAATGGAGATGAGTCTCACAGACTTTCTTGCCTGGTCTGACTTCCAACTGTGTACCTCAGAACTCAGCCTCCTGGGGAGCTAGGATTACAAGCATGAGCCACTGGTGCTCAGCCAGTTCTAGATCTTGGTTGGAATTAATAAACATGATATCAGAGATATCCTTTTATACTTTTAAGGCAGTCTGTGCATGTGCCATCTAACTAGCGTGAAGTGACTAGGGCAGTTGTTAATATCTTTACTGTGCAAAATCAAGGCCTGGTGAGATTCATCCATATGCCACTAGATTGATGGAGGGGCCAAGCTGAGAACCCAGATTTCCTGGAGGCAAAGTTCTGGAAACTCCATCAAGATGCCTACTATCATTTCCTACAAATATACCCCAGATGTGATAAGTAAAGGTTTATTTTCAGAGCCATCCATAGAATCCTAAATCCTTTAGTTAATATATAACCAGGAAATACCTGTGCCAAGGGGCTGGGTATTTTTATGAATGAAATGTATAGGAGGAAGTATGATAATCAGGTGTGGATGATAGAGCATTTTTTTTTGTACTTAGGTTTTGAAGGGACATTATTTGCATCTTTATTGTGCCAAAGTTGTAGCACTATTTTTTTTAATGCCAAACGTCTGATGATATAACTAGTTGAGTATGCTGTTGGTCCATCTGTGTGCTTCTACCATTGCTTTCTAGCCAAAGTGAAGCTTATTTTACTGGCCATCACCCTGTTTACTGTTGACTTCCATTTTTTGTAATGGAAGCATTGAGAACTGAATCCTCAGTGGGTCAAGAATTTATCCATTTGGCTTGAAACCTTATTTGTATATAACGATGCTTTTTTAATGCTACTCAGAATACTATTTATTTCTCAAGTGTATATAATGTGTAAAGATGTATGCAAATATATGATTAGTTTTCACCTTAACAACTTTCAAGATAGAAAAAAAGTGTAATCATAAAATAAATCTACAAAATTCTTAACTGTCTGGCAACTCACTTCTTAAAATTTGGAAGAATTATGAATGCCTAAATCTTTGATTTGACAAAAAGTTGCTTTAATGTAAGGTATTTTTTTCTTGGTAGCTGGAAGTGGACAATTACTCCTTTGGCTAATGAACAAGAAAAGCCACTTATTTGCTTTTTTTTTTTTTTTTTTTTTTTTTTTTTTTTTTTTTTTTTTTTTTTTTTTTTTTTTTTGGTTCGGTCGTGGGGCCTGAACTCTGGGCCTGGGCGCTGTCCCTCAGCTCTTCAGCTCAAGGCTAGTGCTCTACCACTTGAGCCACAGCGCCACTTCCGGCTTTTTTCTTTTTGCTTATGTGGTGCTGAGGAATCGAACCCAGGGCCTCAGGCATGCAAGGCAAGCGCTCTACCACTGAGCCATCTTCCCAGCCCCACTTATTTGCTTTTTGGTGGTTCTAGGGATTGAACCCAAATCCTGCACATGCTAGGCAAGTACCCTACCACTAAGATATACTCCAGTTCCAAAGTTGTTTGAATTGCTGCAAGAAGGCCTGATGGTGGATGTTTGGAATAACAAGGAGGGCGGATGGATGTCAGCTGACACTAATAAGCATTTAGATTTGGTTGTATGGGGCCCGATAATAATGACTTTTCTCCATTGTATTGAGAGATTTAATAGGGCCAAGCAGAGTCCAAGTCTTGATTTTTTTCACTGAGCCACTCAGGGTGATCTGAAGAATTGAAATTTTTTTTTCTTTTTTTTTTTTTTTTGTGGGTCATGGTTAAACTCTGGGCCTGAGCACTGTCCCTCAGCTCTTCAGCTCAAGCTAGCGCTCCTTCTGGTTTTCTGGTAGTTTACTGGAGATAAGAGTTTCATGGATTTTCTTGCCCTGGGCTGGCTTTGAACTACGATCCTCAGATCTCAGCCTCCTGAGTAGCTAGGATTACAGGCATGAGCCACCAGAGCCCAGCTCAAGAATTGAAATTTTTGTTCTAAAGGTATAGTCCACAATTTAGAAGGATGTTGTCCACAACCACAAATTTAACTTGGAAAAAGCTGAGAAAAATAGAAGATTTTTAACTGGTGTTATCTTGGGACTGGGAAGTTGGCTCAGTGGTAGAATGCTTGTCTCCTGTGCATGAGGCCCTGGGTTCGATTCCTTAGCACCACATAAACGGAAAAAGCCAGAAGTGGTGCTGTGGCTCAAGTTGTAGGGCTCTAGCCTTGAGCTGAAGAGCTTAGGGACAGCACCCAGGCCCAGAGTTCAGGCCCCACAACTGACAAAAAACAAACAAATGTTATCTCTTATGCATAAAGAATGTAAGCTTAAAAACAAAAAAAATATATGCTACCAAGACATGATAGTGAAAACTATCTGCTACTGGCATATAGCCAAACAACTAGGTGAACGGAATGTAATGTAGAAATCAAGAGCAAAAGTATGAATGTGTGGAAATTTGGTCTAAACCAAAGGCGGCACCACAAAGCTGAAGAGGAAAAGTCTTATTTAGTAGATGGTGGTGGGAAATCAGCTTGATGCATGAAGACAGCTGGGCTCATCTAGTTTGCACCACAGAGAAAGGAGGGAAAGAGGAAAGTGATAAAGACACTTGAATAAGAAATGGGGCTATGGCTCAAATGGTAGAGCTCTAGCCTTGAGCAAAGAAGGTTGGGGACAGCACCCAGGCCCTGGTTCAAGCCCCAGAACCAGACCCACCCCCCCAAAAAAAGATAACTGAGTAAAATAGGAGAATCTCTTTGAGATCTCAGAGCCAGAGTCCTTAAGTATGAGCTCCCCAAATGTTAATCAAAAGACTGAAAACTGAGATTTGGTGGCATCTGTATTGAGAATAATTATAATGATGGATAATAAACATATTAATGACTAATAGACTATTAAATACCTACTTTGTAGCAGGTACTGTTTGAAAGGGTATGTGTTATTTAATTTTTATAGCAAATACATCTATATATGTATGTGTATGTACATATGTACATATATATGTTAATAATCTTTGATTTGCAGCAAGACAGCAGGAAAAAAGAAACAGGAAAGTTTCTTGCCAGTGTAGGAAAATAATGGATGAGGCCATTGACCTCACACACAGGCTGATCTGCTTAGGAATCTTTCCTCCAATCAAGTTTCCTAAAATATCCCTGATTTTCACAGTTGGTTTCATCCCTTCAGTCCAGAACTTACAGATCCTTTAAGAGAGGCTCCAGTGTTTGTCTCTCCGCAGATCGTCCTCATGGTTTCCAGGGACGCAGCAGTTACCATGGTGAGGTGGAGAAAGGTGCCAAAGCCATCTTTTACAACTGTGAGTTATCTATAAATTGAAGATGGCCTCGAAAATAAAAACCATGAGTAAGTAAACCAAAGGAATGAGGAAAACAAAGATAAATAGGACCCAAGCCACTTGTTTTCCTGAATGTCTGTGGTTATTAGTGACATTTAGCTTTGATTTTCTTTGCATGGGACCCATGGATGTAAGGTTTTTGTGCAGTAAGAAATGAAAGAATGGGAGCTAGGGTGGGTCTGAAAGGATAGGGGCTCAAATCCAGAGACCAGCTGGGGAAGTAGGAAAAAGAGTTATTGGACTTGAGCTAATTAGCTCACCAGAGTGAAGCCACACTGTACCTTAGCTAATATTTTCACCAAAGGCAAGTAAATGGTCTAGATGCCCTAGAATTGGTCATAACCAGGAGCCAGTCTGCATGAGCCAATGGCGTACCTTGCATGTGCTGAAGATAGGAACAAAGGTTGGAACTATTTCCCTGGAATGGAGGGGTTAAGGTTTTGTTTTTTAAAAGTAAAGCTATGAGCCTAGCACTGGTGGATCATGCCAGAAATCTTAGCTACCCAGGAGGCTGAGAGGATCACAGTTCAATGCTAGCCTGGGCAAAAAAGGTCACTAGACTCCATCTCTAAAATAACCAGCAGAAAAAAAGCAGGACTGGAGGTGTGGTCAATCAATAGAGCACCAGCTTAGCAAGTGCCAAGGTCCCAACTTCAAATCGCAGTACCACCAAAAATAGAAAGGATCTTCTGCATAGATTATCAGACCAAGATAATTTTTAGTAGGATTGATATGGTGGTAATTAAGCACTCTACCAACTCAGTCAGCCAGTCAGTTAGTCTGTCTGTCTGCCTGTCTGTGTCTCCTGGAAGGCTCTCACTATGCAGCACAGGATGGCCTAGAACTCACCAAGTAGCTTAAGCTGACTTCAAACTAGTGATCCTCCTTTACCCTCCTGAGTGCTGGGGTAACAGGATTGCACTAGGTCCAGCTTAATTTTCTTCAGTCCTACTATTTTCCTCTGTCCTCTCTGACTTCCTCTCTTCTACTTTTGGCTGGCTAAAGGCAGACCTTCGGGAATGTGAGTGCACAATCCTGAAGTTCATTCCTTGACAACTTGACTGCTGCTGCCTCTCTCTCCTGCGTGGCAGCTGCTTCAGGTCCTCTTTTTCTTCTTCTTGTTACTGTTGTCATGGTAGTTTTCTCCTCTTTTCTTTCTCTTCTAACAGTTGTGTTGAGGTGTCATGGGCACACAATAAACTAGCCACATGCAACTTGTATCATTTGACATTTTGGTCTATGAAGTCATCACGACACTGTAAAATCCTGACAACAACTAAGATCTTGAACATATCAACTCTGTTTCCTCATGCCTTTCCCACAGCCTTCTCCCTGGGCAATCTCAGAGCTGCACTTTGCTGATGTAGATTAGTTTGCCTTTTCTAGAACTTTGTAGAAGTCTGATTTACATATAGTGTAGTTTCTTTGTGTGTGTGGCTTCTTTCACTCAATGTAATTATTTCAAGGTATATCCAGCTTGTTGCCTATATCATTTGTCCATCCTTTATCTTTGCCAAGTAGTATTTCACTGTAGACATAGATCTGACTCTTTACCTGAACATTGTGTACATTTCTTCTGAGTGAATAACAAGGATTTTAAAAGCTAGAACATACGGTATGCTTGGCTTTAATACCTTTTTTTTCTTGTCCATACTAGGACTTGAACTTAGGAATTCACATATGCAAGGCAGGTACTCCACCACTTGAGCCATGCTGCCAATCGTGGCTTTTTTTGTCCGTCTTCAGGCTTGAACTCAGGTCCCGGGCACTGTCTTTGATATTCTTTTGCTCAAGGCTAGAATAGTTCCACTTCTGCCTTTTCCTGAGTGGGTTATTGGAGATAAAGTGTCTCGTGGACTTTCCTGCCTTGGCTGGCTTTGAACCATGATCCTCATATCTCAGCTTGCTGAGTAGCTAGGATTACATTCATGAGCCACTGGTGCCTGGCTTGGCTATTTTTGAGATGCAGTCTTGCTTTTTACACGACTGGCCTCCTATTTACACTTTCTGCGTAGCTGAGATGACAGGTGCATGTCATGACTCTCAGCTATTGGATGAGAAGACGTCTTGTGTGTATGACCAGGTTGGCCTCAAACTGTGATCCTGCAGATTTCAGCCTCCCACATAGTTAAGATTGCAAGCATGAGCCCCTGGCACCCAGGTGGAATTTTTATTTTTAAAATAAAAAAACCATGAACACTCAGAAATATCAAAACACACTGTTGATACTGTCTGTGTGCCATAGGGACCATCGGAGGCCCCTTTAAGCCTGAGATACTCATAGTGTTGGCTGTGGAGGGAGTGATCTTGAGGCACTCTCCAGGCGTTGACCTTAGTTTACTAAGGTCTCCTTTGAACAGTACATTGCCAGTGACTGGCTGATAAGGTCCATCCCCTCTAGTCTTAAGGCAGGATGACTGCAGGGCCATATTGGCCGCACACTTCTAGTGGCACTGCTGAGGCCTTTGCTGTACTCTAGTCCATCTCTTTCTACTCTCCCCAAACCTGCTGCCTTCGTCCCCCACCCGAGGAGCCCTGAGAACACATCTCAGGACACCAATCTCCACCTCAGACTCCTTCCCAGGAATCCAGCCTGTATCCTAACCAGCTTATATTCTAACCATCTCACAAATAATGTAGGGACTAAAGGAGTGAAGTTAGAGACTCCTAGGTCAGCCTTGAGGCTCAGGAGTGAGGTGGGGGACACATCGGAAGCCAGTTATGTGTGGCTGCTGACATCACTTGCTGTAAGTGAAAGTCGCTTGCCTCACCCGGAGGTGGTTTTCCTTTCACACATCATGGGAATGAAATCACCCCGCCGCTGGGTGGAGACAGCACCTGGCAGGCGTGTGCACCTTGACATCAGAGGACACAGGTAACACAGGATGGGGCGGGGGGGGGGGGGGGGAGATAGGCCTCCCTTATTTGGGCAGTGGGAAGCTGGGCATCCTGGAGCTGGAAGGGAGCCCAGATGAGCGTGATGGAGAAGATGTTGCTCATCACTGGGATGGACTGTGAGCTGGCAAGCAGGCAGAAGTGATGATGCGTAGACATTTCCATTCACCCGCAGACGCTGCTCAAACCCAGTATGGTCAGAGAGACAGGTGGGCCCATGGAAGCTGG